CAGAGCGACTTGCCAGTACCCCGACGCCAAGTCAAGTGTACAAAACCACTTCGCCCCTCCCAACGCGTCGAATGTTTCATCAATGCGCGGCACTGGATAGGCATCCTTGATGGTCACCGAATTCAACTTTCTGTAATCAATACAGAAGCGTTTCGTACCATCCTTTTTGTCAACCAAAACAACATTTGCCGCCCATGGACTGTCGGAAGGTTCAATCACCCCCCTCTTTTCCAAATCACCGACTTGCCTCTGGATTTCCTCCTGATGGCGATATGGATGACGCCTCATCCGCTCTTTCACCGGCTTAGCATCACCAGTATTTATGTGATGTTGCACCACGTCCGTGCGACCAATGTCATGGTCACCCTTGGACAACACGTCCTGAAAGTCTACAAGACATTTCCGGACATCCCCATGGTACTTAGCCTCCACATTGGCTGTACCCCTCTCAAACAAATCTTGCAAGTGCTGGGGTAACTCTTCACCAGCATTTGTCACCCTATCCAACTCACCATGAATTGAACCAACTTCCACCTGGGAGATCAGTCCCGCTGTTGTACCCTCACGTGCAACTCTTTTCTCCCTTCCGGGATTGAAGACCCGCAACGCAACAACATCGGCTTCAGTCTCAACCAGAGATCTGGCCAACACCAAGCCCTTCTTGGCTAGGTCACCGCCACCTTCCATCGGTTCTACCATGGCAGGCCCGACCAAGTCGGCACCCTTCCGAGCAATTATACCCGGGACCACGGCCTCATGACCTGACGGAATCACCGTAGTTTTAGAAACTACAACACGACCAACAAAATGCTCGCCAGCACCATTCGTGCATTTGATTCGCTCACCTTTGAGCCTCCACTCTTTCGACTGGAAATCTAAATTTCCACCTGTGGGTACCAGAAAATCCATGCCCAGGATACCACAGTACTTCATGTCGACAAACACTGCCCTGACTTGGTGCGTGGTTCGACCCACTTGTACCTCTACCCAAGCTATACCCAACACGGCTAGCTGACTACCGTCAACTTGCTTTACCTGAACATCATCCGTCTGTAAGACGGGTCTTTTCTCCTTAGGAATTTGGTAGTACACCGTACTATTTATCAAAGTATCGGTGGACCCCGTGTCGATCAAAAATCGACACTTTGTCGTCCTTACCATCCCATCAACAAACAAACCATAACGAGCTCCACTACTGGGATTAGGCAGAGTTATGACTCGTTGCCCATCCCCAGGCTTCGACTTTTTCTCTCCACCACCACCCTCGCTGTCACTGTGTTGTCTCTTGAACCCTTTTGACCACTCAGCCTTCCCGCGGGTTCTACGGGGGGCTGACTGACGTTTCCCTGCTTTGGAGTTTTCTTGCACTCCCGGGCAAAGTGCCCTTTGTCACCACATCTGAAACACCGCAAGGCCCCAGGTTCAGGCATACCGGGCTTGTGAGTCTGGGGAGACAACACGCCCCTACCCTGACCTTGACCTTTAATCTGACCGGACAAAGACTTCACCAATTCAGCCACAGAGTCCAAAGTTTTGGCCTGCTTATTGAGATTTTCCTCGAGAGTGTCCAGCCTCTGTTCAGTTACTGAACCCAAAGCTCTTGCCAATTTAGCGGGCTTCCGGTCCAGCAATCTGTGCTGTTCCACCTTCTCGAAATTCTCAGTCTCCAGGGCAGCCTGGACTGCTTCATCCAAAGTTTTTGGACGAGCCCTATTGATGCCCTCCCTAACTGAATGACTGTCAACAGCATCTATGAAGTGGTTCTTAGCCAACCTCTCACGAGCATCTTCCTGTAACTCAGGGTATGCTCTCGCTGTCAATTCGTGAATCGCTTGCCCTAATTCAAGCAGAGTCTCCTTCGGCTTTTGGCGCCGATGTCTCAGTTCGACGAGATAATTTTCACTCTGTCGAGCTGACCCAAACCTGCGCTCCAGCAACTTTACAAGTGCACTATACGTGTACTTGTGGCCAGAGTCACCGAATAACCGTAGAGCGTCTCCCTGCAAGCTTGCGGCTAACCACCTCGCAGCCTGCTCCTCACTCCACATATTCACCTCACGACACGACTCAAAATGGCGGAAGTACTCCTTCCAGAGCACCTTTCCGCTGTACCGATCAGGGGTTATGTTTGGCCTGCGATTTGGTCGCTCCAAACTACCCATCTGACCCACATCACCATGGACCCGTGCCTCTCTTTTCAGTGGCCACGGACCTACCGACGAGATGTCAACTTGAGCTGAACTGTTGTTCTTCGCCTCGACTGGTCGAGTTGCAAAACTTAACAATTCACTCTTCACCTGTTTAGGGGTTACCATCCCCATGTCACCAACGAACGGGTTGGTACTCGCCAAACCCCGTTCCATGCCACCTTCAGGGACGAACGACATCAGATCACCATTTGGATCATCTGTCTTCCTGGCAACAGGCGTCGACTGCGCTCGGGGGAATATCCCTGCACTCCATCTTTTCTGAGGTGTACTTTCCATGAAAGTCACCTCCCTCCCCACATTAGGGGCTTTCCAAGGCGAACTTTCCATGAAAGTCACCTCCCTCCCCACTTTAGGGGCTAACTCAGGCACCATATTTGCGCCTGAAACTCTATCCGTTGCTCCAGAGACATACCCGGAAGTCTCTTCGGGCAACCTGAGCTCAACATCGGAATCAACCCGATGGAGCACACGCCGGCTTCCACCTGGCATACCCATGTTTCCTTCCTTTGGGGAAACACCCGACTGCAACTCCATGGCAGCCTTCAACTTCTTTGCAATGAGGTCATTTTCCCATTGCAGAAATTGGGCTTCCAAACGCAGTCTTTGCACCTCGGCCTCAGCACTTGAGGTGCCCACTCGACCCTTAGAGCCCTCGCTCATAATTCCAAACAACCACCGAAATCACCACAGAAATCAACAACAATTCAACAATTGTGCAATTCAATTATTCAACAGAGAAATCAACTTAATCATTCACAATCATCCCACTTCTGACACCATTTGTGGCGGGAACTCCCCGGGCCAACCCAAGTCTGTTAGGATAAGTCTGACTCCTAGTGGGGTGAAGACAATCTTCCCAAACCAAGGCTCTTCCCTAGACGAGAGATCACTCAGAGCGACCTTCAAGGCTAAGGGTGCAGGTCCGTTTTGGTGGAAATCTACCGCCCGATTATGAATAAGTGTTGATTATTTATCTCTGTTAATTAATTGCACAATAAACCTGTAAACATAAACACCGGAAGCAGAATTGTCGGTAATCTCAAACAACAATGATCGTAATTTATTCAACAATAATCAAGTACAACAATTAGGATGTGATTCGGTGGGTTGTTTTATTAACAGGGTCCTTAGTTACTGGAGATAGCCCGCTGCTTGCCTATGCAACAACGAACACAGCATTAAGCACTAGACAACAATGGCAGCAATGAGCAACTATGCACAGCGCTAGGAATGAATCACTAAGTTAGCCAAACACAGCGTCACAAGCACACAACAGCCGCTTAGCAATGTATACAGTCCGTTAGCAGGGTACCCGCTACGCCGTGCGTGTAAGCCAGAATTCAGCTACACATACCAGCGCGACCCCAGTACAGCTACACAGACTTTGTACACAAATCGCCTAAGCAATTTCACATAAGCAGGGTACCAGTAATTCACCTACTTCTCTGCCCGCTGTCGCAGCTACACCCGGCACTCAACACTCTGAACAGATGAGCCCCAAAACTATACACTCAACAAGCTATAGTATCTCACCTAACAACGATCTCCACAACTAGCAGCAATCAGTCCCAACAACTAGGCTAAACCATGTACCAATGCGCGTTCTAAACCCAAACTGCTAAAACGCTACCAAAACCCAAACTTCTAAACTTCTAAACAGAGCGCGCTCTCCAGGCACGCATTTATATACCAGGCACATGTAGACGCTACGTCATGTCTACAAACCATGTGCGTGTACTAACCCTATGGTGCGCTAAACCTATGGGGAAAATTAGCCAATCGCGTACGCGCAGCAGCCCACGGAGCTCGTAAGCTCCGCCCGGTCACTGCACACAAGTGATTAAGCGTTAGTGCTATGGTATGACGTCACAACTAAACACTTTCCGCCACAGTAATTAAAGTCGAAATATGGTTAATGTATAGTTATAACTTGCTCAGAGTTAAGCCAACCGCGATCAAAGCTATTTTGTTTTATAAAACACCTGAATGAATCCCCGTCATCTGATTGGTGGATCGTTGACAGGATCACATGTCATTGAATTATTCGTCGCCGCGCACGGCACGGCCGCGCCACTAGTTCTATTGCACTGTGAATAGAACTTCCATTGCACGGTTTCATTTCTGCCGGTGGTGGCGCTGTATTACGAATCTGATTCACTGAATGTCAAATTGGCAGACGATTTGCGAGAATCTCCGTTTTTTCTCCGAAGAAATATCGGAACTGTATGTAAATGCTGACGCTGCAAACACACAGAAGCAAATAAGACTTGCTGCCAAACAATTAGACGAATTTGGATATGGTAGTTCTGAACTTGTCGAGCACAGTTTTTAAGATACAGAAATGGGATATGACAGTTCTGAACTTCGCTGTGGAATAGTTTTAGACCGAGATAAATTGAATATGCTGGCTAGCTCTGAACTTGTTTTGAATAAATCGGATATTGGAAGGGGCCCCCATTTTTTCCTGAAAAAGTAGAACATTGATGTAAGTACCAGTCCACAAGTCAACCAATCAGATGACAAGGATTTATTCAGGTGTTAAATTTAAACAAATAATGAATGTTTCATATTCGTGCATTGGAAAGTATATTTTCACTCGATGCATCAGATGAATTTTCCATTCCACTCCGCTTTGCCTCGTCGAATAAAACATTCATCTGTCTCCTCATGAAATTATTCTTACCATTGCACTCACAAACATTCATAATATGTATAATAGCCGTCATGCAAGCATCTCAAAAAGGCTGAGTGCGCTCATTTTTGTTGTCATTCCTCTTCTCGTTTTCTCAGATCTTAGTTGCGACAGGGATGACCTGGATTCTCATCTTCATATTTGGGTACGCATATGTGGATGGCTTCTCCTATCTCTTCAGCATCTTGATCTCAGTCCAAGGACCCCTTCTCTTCTTCTGCTTCGCCTTCACGGAGCGAGTCCGTGGCATGTGGCGGATCAGGATCTCTGGGCTCTGGACGCGCCGGTCCAGGGCTGGGGCATCGGCAGGCGCTGGCGCCTCTGCGATGTCTACAGCTCGGACCAGCTTCCAGGTTGCAGATCAGTAAACATGCCCCCGCATTTGCCGACCAAATCACGATTTGTGCACTGTTGATCGCTGTCTCAATAGAGAGTTTTGTGGCCCTTGCCTATAGAGGAGGTGGGGGAGGGGGTAGAAATGTAGGGGCCTTGATCATGAACAAGACTTTGAGCCAGTTTTCCTGAGAAAAAAAGTGGATTAAAGTCGATCTGTTTTGCAATTGAGTTGATGAATCATTTTCCGATGGGCTTCAGGACTATACTTTTACTCGTGATCATTTTTGGAGGGAAATATCACCCGAATGTAGTTGGTTAACCATCTCAACCCTCCCCAACCAATGGACAAAAAATGAAATAGGGTAAATCAAGCTTTAATTTGTGTATGTCTTAAACACATTGGAGAATTGGGAGCAATCTACCCGATTTGTTGAAGTGGTGCATATGAGAATTTATGTACTGGTCTGCTCGCTGTACTAGAGAGTTGTTACGGAATATAGAGGTAGTATATGGGCATACATTTTATGTTATTGGTTGGAAACGGCCATTTTATTTTATATAACATATACTAATCCTCCGAATCCATTTATTTCTGAAAATTGCAGCAAAAGCAAATGTTGTACATTCCCTTTAAATGATAAACAAAGTTATTTAATATTGAATGATAAACAAAGTTATTCACTTTTGAATGAGACCTCGAACGAAAAAAGAAAGAAAGAAAGAAGTCGGCTCACCTTTAGTTTTGTCATAATTGCTTTACAAATCTCAGATTATCCGGGGATCGACAGTAATTATTCAGTTGTCGCAGGATAGACTAGTTCCCCCATCAGAATGGACCGATCCAGTAAGCACCGCCCCATGGTGTTCTGACCAATCACAGCCGTGATTTATGTCCGACGTGCGTGCACAAAAGTCCGACATGCGTGCACGCGCGTATGATGCGCGCGGCAGGAAAATGCAGTGTGGCATTGGAGAGGAGCACGTGTTAATTTGCCCACGTGCGCAGTGGGAGGGGCTTACTGGATCGGTCCATTGATACTGTAGGGACCGGAAGTTGCGCAGAAGCAACCCAAATAAAATACTTTTTTCCGAGGGTTACAAATGCAAAACAAATATAGGGGGAGACGAGTAGTTTTTAACCGGATTAAATAAAACAAAGTTGAAAACGCATTATGGAGTTTTAAAAAATAATAATGATAAAAAAAAACCAAACAAATCGAAATTTTGAAGATCACGGACAGTACATACAACCATCGATTCTTCGCCTTCAAAGAATGATCTGTTTTCAGTTGTTATCATTTACAAATATATCACTATGAACTAAGTCTTGAGGTAGTTTTGCATCTATTGCATGCCATGGGAGTCACTACCAGTACTGCCCAATGCATGCAAATCAAGTTAGCTAGTATTTACTTACAAAATATGATCGGTCTATATAACACTTGTAAGCACGCAATGACATGCATAGAAATATTGATATTTAAGTATAATAAAATCAATTCCGGTATGGTGATCAGGGACCGGATTCAGACGAGGACGTATATCAATTAGTCGAATAAATGGGTATTTTCAAAATTGGGTATTGATTTATGCTAATTTGATTCAGCAGTCAATTGTTTATCTTGAGTTTGCCTATAATTATGCTAATAAACATCACCACAACCCCCCTTCTAATTGAAGCATATTGAATTTTGATGAACTTTGGCCAGTCAAAAAAAGTGCTTGCTGTTGCTTATGTCAAGGCATCCAGAGGTCAGTTGCATATAGCCTAATCATGTAAATTGGTTGCTCTGAAATTAAAAAAAAAAAAATCACTGTAACATCGGTTCTGGGCCTTACCGGCAAATTTTGATAGTTCAGGGTCAAAATAGTGCCGAATCGTACTCTGAATGCAGGTAAATATCAGTACCGGATTCAGACGAGGACGAATCGTTAATTAGTCCCATCTATTAAAGAAAACGGTTTATTTAAGGCAGTGGCGAGTTCATCCGGGCATTAAATGAGGCACCATACAATAGACATCACCCATTGTGTCCACGCGGACGAGAGCGCAAGAAAAACAAAATACCACCAGTTGTTTTGTTATTGCCAACCCATGTCAACATAAACATCCTCTTCGCCGGATGTTTGCACTTGACCATCAGTAGTAAACTGAATCAAAACCTTCGTGTTGTCTACATTGTCGTAATATTTTCATTCCAATTAAGTCGAATATTCCCCCAATGGTCGGATAGGTAATTAAGACTATAATTTATATTTCGCATAAGGACTAATGAGGAGTGTTAAGGATTGCGTGCGTGGGGAGTTTCGTTTCGTAATTATCGGCATCCAGCGAAATCGCTCAGGAATGTCGAGCATTAGAACTTGCATCGAGTAAGCGCGAACATCTACCGGAAGAATCATAGAAATTGAGTCGCATGTGTACCCATTTCGGAGTTTAAGCGCTGATGTTGGACAGAATAACAGTTTGACTTTGGACTTCAGAGCACCGTGAACGACTAGAAGGAGGTGAGTGTTTGTTTTTGTACCGGTATATGTTTCAAAATGGCTCTCCCATTGCTATTTTCGAATTTCACCTCCAAAATGGTTCCGTTTTCAAATTGTTATTTTTTAGGAGTACTAAAATTATTCACTCAATGAGACATTTAAGACAAAAATACGAAGACGTTTAGTTTTGGAAAATGTACAATGAATAAATTATGCGCGGCCCGACAATAATTCAGGCATATCGTTTGTGCGTTACGGGAGCAAATCCAAAACAAAAAAGTTCATTTTCAGACTGTTAAAACGTCTGAAATAGAAAAGGGTCGCCTTCTCCGGTTAAAAAGAAAACAAAGATTAAAAAGTCGTTAGGAAAAAAGAAACACATGTTGAAGAGCATGGGTAGATCAACTTTAAAGATTTTACGATAAAGAAGTAGTTGTATTTTCTACTATTTTGAGACCATTGTTGTTATGTGTAAGATGTTCAGATCTCAGCATATTGCATGGCACCTCCAGAGTTCCGTAGATTTTATTAGTTGCTACCATAATAAGTTTGCCAGCAGATCGTTATCTTTTCTCAATATACTTGTTACATTTCGCGTATTTTGATAAATTGGTTAAGATTTGGAAGTCTGCATTGTGAAGTGTGCAATAAAAGTAAGTTTACTTGCATGCGTTTTATACAGGGTGAGTTAAAAAAAAAAGAAACCCAAACGTTGGGACCATTGTTTTAAAAAAAGTTCTGCATATAGCCCTTTCAAAATCTAGCATATGAACGCCCAATTCATTAGCTTTTTTTTTAGTACAAGAATCATTCAAATCACTGATGTACTTTTCAAGTTACAGAATTTCAAACACAACCACCGTTTTAAGGTTCTGTCCACGGATCACAAAAAAGATCAGTGTTCTTTCAAAAAAACGAAAAGATTCACATAGGGATGTGTGTGAATTGTTTTCGTTTTGCTGAAATAACGCAAACCTTTTTTGTGATCCGTGGACAGAACCGTACGTGAGTGATTTGAATGATTTTTGTACTAAAAGAAAGCTGATGAATTTGGCTTTCATATCCTAGATTTTGAAAGTGCTACATGCAGGACTTCAATAAAACACTGGTCCCGACATTTGGGTTTCGTTTTTTTGACTCGCCCTGTACATCCCATTTTGTAAGTTTGTGAGGTTCTGAAAAGAACCGGGGGAAAGTGAACGCTTCGGACAGTGCTCTACCCATCGTCAGTGGACTGAGAGAATTGGATGTAGCAGTGAAGCATCCACGTTCCAAGAAGGACAGAAGATTCTGGATTGTAGTTAGCTTCACTTTTCACTTTGCGTAGCCTTTGCAAACGTCATGGTGCTATGGACGGCCAAACGTGCCACACAACCAAGTTGCCCGGTAAAACGTGATATCGTGATTGGATTCGTAATGTGAAATGCTTTTCATTCTGAAATAGCAATTTTGACAGAGCTGGGTTTTTTTTATTGAACCCCCAACTCCCCCCCCCCCGATCCGCGCCAGAGAAGATCGTAAACTTGCTCTAGTGTGAGGTTTATCTCAAGGGCGGATCCAGAACACAATTTTTTGGGGGGCCCAAAAAAAATTTGGTCCCCCCAAAAAGTGGGTCAAAAACATTACGGCGTGGGGTTCGGGGCCCGCCTAAGGGCCCCGAAATTTGTTGGATTCTAGATGCTCTGTGGTGCGATCTGAGGCAATTTCTGACCACTTTAACCAATTGTTTTTTAGGAAAAGATGGTGGTGTACTCATTGCCTGCCTTTATTGCGATGTCACATAAAAAAAAAAAAAATTGGTTTCGTTTTTTTGGGGGCCATGGCCCCCTTTGGCCCCCCCGGATCCGCCCTTGGTCTATCTACGGTCATTGAGCGTGGGGTCCAGTTGCAGTCCGTCTTTTAGCGATGTTGCAGGAGTCGGTGGTGGGGACGTTGGTGACAGAGAGATACGTCATGAAAGCAGGCAAACCCGCTAAATGTTGAGCTTGAATACACTGATTTATTTCTGTTCCCGAAACAGTTTTTAGATATAGCTTTCAAACAACAACCACACTTTGGTATTAAATTGTAGTTATATATACATGTATACAGAGTATGAACAAATCTCATTGATTGACGCTTAATTCACTCTAATATAATTGTTATGCAGGTTCTGAAGCCCACCTATGTGTGAAGTTTACGATAAAATAGCTTTAAGTAGACACAACAGTGTCTACTTCCAAAAATTCTTCCAACTATTTAAAAATTACAGAGAAACCTTTACCTTCTTATTGACTTCCCCTTTCTCCATACTTTTCATCTTCAAACATCCCCATGTAAATACCCCGTGTTAATATATAGAACACGTTACCTGTGTCGTCATACCAACGAGCAACCAACATGCAGGCAACTAAAATTTTAAGCATCTTTTGCATACTATACTTTGCCAACATTACACAGTTTAAGGTCACCATTTGTACACAATCACGCTATAGCGACACACATCCAGTGTAGAAGACAAAAGTTTGCTGAAAGTTGGCATTACGTGACCACCATATCAAACTGTGTAAACAAAACAAATGTAACATGTGGTCTACAACAAAGGTACAGGTTGGCGTAACCCCATGGTTTGTTTAATCAAAGGAATTTCACAACTCCCCTTTTTATTTAGAAAACTATCCTCTATTCCCTGTTCCTACGAATGGTACTTTGCCCTCCACTAATGCATAGGTGCTGTTCAATGTATCCTCCAAAATACAAGTCATTGAGCTGTAAACTCTAATTCACTGTGTTTATAGAATACAAACTGGCTTTATTGTGTTTAATTAAGGATAAGTGTTTTTGAATTGATAACCTCCCAATAACACATTTCCTTTAAACCCCCAGAATCAAAGGTTTGGACATTCCTTCTTCTTTTTTTTTACACTGAACACCACTTGTTCGTCTATGAATGCGTTATTGATCACTACAGGGTTAAGTCAAAACGAACATGACCAAAATGAAAAAAAAGTTATTTAACAAAAATGTGTGGCTCGCTCCATTTTATAAAAATAACATAGGGATTAAGTACATGTTATTGACTAGTAACTGTGATAATTTCACGTAATTTGCATACCCTATTCCCATGTTTTAATAATATATCACAAAACTCAGCCGTCCACCACTGATCAAACTGATGAATACCCATTAAATACCATGAAACAGGGAGTTTTCACACCTCTATGAATGAACAAAAACTTGCAAAGGACAACAGACAAAAATCGCCATCAATATTTCAGGGGAAAAATGACTTGTTCCTCATATTCAAAACATAAATCTGACAGTAAAAATAATGTGTCAACCTTGACTCAAATTATTAAAATCTCAGTTTTATATTTGAATGCATGTGTGTGTAATATGTCATTCTCACTCAGCTCAATATAGCTTCCAGTGGCATTCCATGGACAGCTTTAAAAGTGTTCTTTTAGTAAAACATGCAACTTCTGATAGCATGCACGAATCGCAGTTATTTTCCCGCAGATGAGTAGAAGAACATACTGTTTTAAACATACTTCATACTTCATTGGTGTATCAAATTTGATTGTTTTTTTAAGAAAGGAAAAATAATCCAGGTCACTTTCTTTTTGACTCACCCTGCATCATACACATTTTCTAAACTCCAAACTTAAAACTCAAATTTTTACAAAAACATTGTGTAATAACTATAAACGTTGTTTCTTGATGGCATTATATACAGGCCTGCGTGATATACAGTGGCAATATATCAAAACACTGCTTCGATACCTATACTTCGATGTATCTATACCTAGATGCATTTCACACAATACAGGCACATTATATACAAAAACACATAACAACAGCACAGTGAGTAACTGGTATAGCGCACTTAATGAGAGGGTTATCCAATTATTTATGGGCAAAATCAAAACAGGCTTTGTCTCAAGGATATATACTACCAAAAATATCGTGTCTTTGCCCGTTTTCTCTTAGATCGACCTGTAATACATTCATAGGTAGTACGTTTGGTGTGTCAATTTCGTAAGTTATTCATCATCCCATGTAGCCTACAGTTGTGATATTTGCATTCATTCGATTATGTCCGTCTAGAGAAAAAAAGGAAATGTGTCATTTCTTGACATTTGTGTTATTTGACAGAACATCGAACATTAACCACTGTTTTCGACGTTATTGTTTAAGATGTGTTATTTGTCAGATGGTATGATTATACTGATAAGTTGTTCTGAGATCTTTGGCCATGGACGTCATCACTGTAGAGAACTGGTTTCGTGGCGCTGCTTGACGGTTAGCAGAAAAGTTGCACTTATAGTGTAGCAGAAAATTGTGCAAACCTTAAGCACTATTTGATGCTGTGAATGTGCAAAATTATGCTACATATTGCCCGCGCACGTGAATTTTGATGTGCTTATTGCGTACAGTCTTCACGAAATAGACGAAAACACTGTTTTAGCAGAAAATCATGTACTTAGCAGCGCCTGCAGCTTTGGAGGCTTGGAAGATATGAGAGAAAAGAACACTGTTGTGCAAAAAATGGAAATCGCGGTTGGTACATTGCCACACGGCCAAGTTGACTATATAAACGTGATATTGTGATTTGTGTTATGAAAAGGTTTTTCATTTAAAATCCGAACTTGATTTTAGTTGGTTTCACTTTTATTTTTTCAGGAAACATTCTTGCACGATGGTTTTGATGACGGACGTCGTAAGTCACGACGACTAGATAAATAAATTCTGCTTTCTCGACAATTATGAAATAATTGCCCAATGTATAATATTTAATCGAAAGATGACATAATTCAGGGTATAGGCCTACACGAAATTGCGCAAGGCTGTTTTTATACTAACATTGCCATCTAGGCATTTTTCGGTTATTAACTTGACGTGCGGTTTACAATCAACAAAATCTTCCTTTACATTTTTGTCGACTCCGCTGAAGCCATTTGAGAAAGGAAAGCTGTGGCGGCTAATACTCTAATTTCACCAAGTTGGTCATTTGGGACTGTGCAAGCCTGATTCGTGACTTATCGTCAGCGGTCAAATCGCAGGATTTCAGAGACAAAATCTGAAGCTGTTTCATATCGGTCAGGAGAGACCATAAACGACGTGCTTCCGCAAGGGTGAAATTGCCAGACAGATCCAATTCGACAAGGTTGGGCATGTTACTTAGTGCCGCGGAAATGTACTTTATGTCAAACCTTTTCAATTTGCAGCAACTCAAGACCAGTTTGCCGAGAGCTTTGATTTGAGCTAAGTGTGACCATGAACGGCTCGAACCAGCAAGCATCTCATTGTAAGACAGATCCAATTCTTCAAGGTTGGGCAGATTACTCAGTGCCACGGCAATATGCTCCATATCGCGCGCTATCAAATTGCAGGAACGCAAACACAGTTTACGTATAGTTTTCAATTCTGCTAGGTGAGACCATAAGTCATCTGAGCCTCCAAGGGCCTGATTGCCAGTCAGATCCAATTCATCAAGGTTGGATATTTTACTCAGGGCCATAGTGATGTACCCCATGTCACCCACTGTCAAGTTGCAAGAGATAATTTTCAGTACCTGAATGTTTTTAATTTCCGAAAACTGAGACCATAAACCACCTGACGCAGAGAGAGTCGGATTGTGCGACAGATCCAACTCCACAAAGTCGGACATATTTTTCAGTGCCCTGGCGATGTGCTCAATGTGATCTCCCGTCAACTTGCAGTATCCCAAGTCCAGGTTTTGGAGATTCTTTATTTTCTTCAAATGAGATAATGCCTCACCATCGTAACGAAGCATATTGCTCGACAAGTCCAACGCAAGAAGGTTTGGCATATTACCTAGTGCCATGACAATGTGCTCTATGTTATCTTCTTCTAATGAGCATCCAGACAGGATGAGTTTCTTGATACTTCTCATATTTTCAAACTGGGACCATGAACCACATGAGCCAGTGAGATTCTTGTTGTAAGACAGATCCAATTCAACAAGGTTGGGCATATTACTCAGTGCCGCGGAAATGGGATCCATGTCATCCCACGTCAATTTGCAGGCACTCAAGCAGAGCTGCTGGATATTCTTCATTTTCGCCAGGCTAGACCATGAACTACATGAGCCAGCAAGAGTCTTGTTGCGAGACAGATCCAATTTAACGAGGTTAGTCAGATTACTCACCGCCATGGCAATGTGCTCCACGTCATCCCCTTTCAAATTGCAGGAAGAAAATTTTATTTCCCCGACATTTTTTAATGCCGCCAAGTGAGTCCACGAATCCCCTGAACCAGTAAGAGTCACATTGTCAGACAAATTCAAGTAAAGATTTGGAATGTGACTAAGTGCCCCAACAATGTTCTTCGTGTCGTTACTTGCGAAGTCGAAATTGTATAATTTCACATTCTTCAGCTGCGTTAATTCGTTCATGCGTAGAGAGGAAAATTCTAACACACAGTTCCTTTCAATGCGTTGACCAGTCGGATTTTTTACTAAGAGATCTACATTTAATTCCGAAAGATGTGTCATTTTGTTCACGTAGCATGCAAATTGTGCACCAAATCGCAGTAAGCTACTCTCTCGTGCTACCACGCTATGTATTTCCAGGCTGTGAACCTTTTCAAAGTAAGCGTTCTCGTCAGCCTTTGTGTGGTCAGTAACGTTTTTAAAGAAGTACATCAACGATGTGAAATAATCACTACTGAAATCTCTGATTGTGATTGTGTATGCCAAAACCGAATTGATTAACTGCAACGGTGGTAATGTCTGGGACTGACTCTCAAAGTAACAGTTTAGGGCTAATTGTAAGTTTCCATCGTGAAGAATTCCCGCATGTTCTACTTTATCTAACAAAAATTGCAAAATTGAGTTTGTACGGCGTCCATCTTTGTCACCGCAGCAAAAGCGCAGGAGATAATCAAATCCTACTGACTTACGGGTTTGATGAAAGAACTTTGCAAATTGTTCGTCATCTTTTTCACTAAAGTCTTCACTTTGGAAGAATTTGGCAGCACAGAATTCCTGGAATGTCTTATGAATGAAATAAACACTGTTACTCGTATCGAGGCTTTTTTTCTTCTGTACTCGCTGGCTGGTGAGGATGCCAGCTCGTATAGCCATACGAAGCACATCTGGATCAAAATCTTCCTCCCGAAATGAAAGCGTTTGATCAGATGCAAGAAGGCCACGCAGAGCAACCTTTCCAATCGCAATAATGAGCTTTGATATTTCTTCTGGAGATATCATTTTTATCTTTCGTTTGAATATGTATTTTAGTGCCTCATCGTACAAGCGTGACATTGTATCGGGGAGTTCGGAACTCACTCTCCATAACAAGCACATCAACAACAGTATCATGGGACTCCTTGCCAAATCGTACAGAACCTCCGAGGATTTTATCCTCTCAAGAAGCCCAGAAGCTCGGAAACTTTCTTCAGAGTAAAATTTGTGCACATATTCCTCAATGTCATCTTTGTTAAACCCCAAAACATTCACAAGAACAAAGGGCCTCTCAATCAAAGAGCCCTTTGCCAGTTTGTCATAGTGAGAGGGGCGAGTTGTTACAAGTACACTGCATTTGTCATACTCACCCTTTCGATTAAGCATTTTGAGAAGTGAACCGAATTTCGTCTCATCAAGTTCAGTGGTCTTGAATTCATCAAAACCATCCAACAGAAACAAAACTTCGTCAGGCTGGGTCGTAATGAAGGATTTCAACTCTTCTTTATCTATGTCCTTTTCATCTAATAACTGATCAAACACTGAGTCTATTACATCTGAATCCTGTGTCAGAGAATGCATTTTCAATACGAAAACTAACTTATATTTCTTCAGTACAGTGACAGAGCCACAAGCCCAATCGTAAGCAATTTTATCGAGAAGAGTCGTTTTACCTAGACCAGCCAATCCTCTCAAAATTGCCCGTATAATTGGATGACCATCTCTGGATTTGATTTCGAAAATATCCTCGTATGTTTCTACTTTTCCCTTTAAATCATAATCGCCCTTTTCTAATTGTAACTTAGTGTAGATGTCCATAATATGTTTTTTGTCATCATCCATCCATGGCATCATCTGCACGTAACTACCCGTATTTTGATAGATATATTTTAGCGTCTCCTCGCACTTATCTGCAGCAAGTTGGGCTGGATCAGGTCGAGCCTCGTGTAGTGTACTGCATCCTGATTGTTGTCCTCTCTCTGTGCTTGACTGACCCATTTCTGCAATGTAGAGTAATACAAGAAATTTGAAATATCAGTGACAGAAAGTTCTCGTTCCCTGTTGCAATCAGTTCATTCCGAATCAAATACTGATTTAAATTTTAATATTCTGATTTAAATAAACAAAATGTAATTTTTGTTAAATAAAAAAAAATCGCCAACCCTGTAACGTACTTATGAGCATTATGACCAATGGTTCGGTGTGCCGTTATCTAGTCTTTAAAGGTTGTATCAAATGTTTGTTTACAACGTGCGCATTATTATACGAAAGATTCTTAGAGTTTATAACTGAATTGCGTGGGGATTTACCTTCTGAACCAGTAGGCATGCCTGTAAGTGGTGTCCCTTGTTCACTGTCGTCTTCCTGGCTCCTTGATGAGCGACGCCGCCGCTCTACAAATAAATAGAAGAAGTGAATTTCAATTTTGGTCAAGTTGCAATTAATTGGCTCCATCTAGTGAATATTTTTTATTTTCTTCATTTTGGTCACTTGGTTCCTTTGTTTTTTCGGTGTGAGAATCACTTTGTGCTGAGTAAAAAGACCTTCATCAATGTTAATTGGGAATTTTTGTTTGACATTTTCCGAATACTGACTTGAGTTTTGTCGATGATGAGTATTATAGGAATCTGAAAACTCCTTTGTTGATGGGTGTAAGGGTGTGTTGGAAGATTATGACAAATTTTGGGAAATATCAATGTTATGAAAGTTAAAAAAAAAAATACATTTACATAAGTCTGATTTTAATTTAAATATTCTGACTTAAATAAACAAAATCTGATTTTTGTCATAAAAAAAAAAAAAAGCCAACCCTGTAACGTACTTTTGAGCATTGATTACGCCAATGGTTCGGTGTGCCGTTATCTCGTCTTTAAATGTAGTATCAAATGTTTGTTTACAATATGCGCATTATTATACGAGAGATTCTCGGAGTCAATAATCGAACTGCGTGGGGATTTACCTTCTGAACCAGTAGGCATGCCTGTAAGTGGTGCCCCTTGTTCACTGTCGTCTTCCTGGCTCCGTGATGAGCGACGCCGCCGCTCTACAAATAAATAGAAGAAGTGAATTTCAATTTTGGTCAAGTTGCAATTAATTGGCTCCATCTAGTGAATATTTTTTATTTTCTTCATTTTGGTCACTTGGTTCCTTTGTTTTTCGGTGTGAGAATCACTTTGTGCTGAGTAAAAAGACCTTCATCAATGTTAATTGGGAATTTTTGTTTGACATTTTCCGAATACTGACTTGAGTTTTGTCGATGATGAGTATTATAGGAATCTGAAAACTCCCTTGTTGATGAGTATAAGGGTGTGTGGGAAGATTATGACAAAATTTGGGACAAATCAATGTTTTGAAAGTTAAAAAAAAATACATTTACATAAGTCTGATTTAAATTTAAATATTCTGATTTAAATAAACAAAATCTGATTTTTGTTATAACAAAAAAAATCGCCAACCCTGTAGATTACTAATGAGCACTGATTACGCCAATGGTTCGGTGTGCCGTTATCTAGTCTTTATAGGTGGTATCAAATGTTTGTTGACAACGTGCGTATTATTATACGAAAGATTCTCAGAGTCAATAATCGAACTGCGTGGGGATTTACCTTCTGAACCAGTAGGCATGTCAGTAAGCGGTGTCCCTTGTTCACTGTCGTCTTCCTGGCTCCTTGATGAGCGACGCCGCCGCTCTACAAATACATTGAAGAAGTGAATTTCTATTTTGGTCAAGTTGCTATTAATTGGCTCTCTGTAGTGAATGTATTTTTTTTTATTGTTCACTTGGTTCTTTTGCTTTTCGGTGTGGGAAACACTTTATGCTGAGTAAGAAAAAACAATTCATACCTTTTGTCTTCCGCTTTCGACGTCTACCAACAACATTATCTCCGTATAAATATCTCACTAGAGAGAGGAAGACAATAAACCATATAGTTCAACGATTAAGGCCGATGTTAAGTAAAATGTGTCGCGTGTACATACCACGCATTGATAATAAATGAAAATGTAAGGGACGGGGCTTGTTTCATGAAATCGACTTTGATAGATTTATTTATTCCATTCACTTTTACAGTAAAGTAATATAAGTCTTGGTTCGTGATTTTCACTTTAACTTAACTGTAACATCTAAACCGATAAACGCTCAGCCTCATGTAGTATATTAATCACTCCTGAAAGTAAATATTCCAGCTTTACCGACTTTAAGTTTAAATCGATAAAGGAGGGGCAGCAGTAGTTAACTGGGGCGCTGACTGGGGGGGGGGGCATCGGGGAGCCTCGTGTTCTGAAGGGGCACTCAATGGGTTTTAACCCAAAACCAAAACCTACTTTTCGCTTTCCCAAAATTCTGATTGGGTGGAATTGGCACAGGTATTGAGCGAAAAGGAAGTTAAGACCAAGCATGCGTGACCCTGCAAAAGTAACCTTTTTTGCTGGTCACAGACTGACCCACTGACTGACTGACGCTCACTTGGTCTTGCTGGACCAACATTACGTGGCTTGATTAGTCATTGTATGTACAAGCTACATGATGTGTATTACACTCGCAAGGCTTGTTTCATGCACTTTCATGATACATGTGCAGGTAATGTCAAGTCTGCATGCACTATGGCTACAGTAGATTGTTTGTTGAGTGGTCGGGCACAACCCGACCACTCTTTGGATCTGTTACGATTAATCTTTCTTTCTTTCTTTCTTTTTTTTTTTTTCCGGACAATACTTCTCCGCGGGTTTTCTCTTAAACGGTATATGGTATGAACTTGTAACTTTCAATATATATCGACCCTCATCCCTAGTGGTGCATATTACTCTGACGTCATGATTACGTCATCAGGTGTCAAATTACAAGTGATTTTATCTGAAAAAGTGACCAATTACTTTCACCTATAACTCTTGAACTAAATATTCAATGATGTTTGTATTCTGCAATCAAATAGACCATTAAACGCTTAACAGTTTTTGTCGTGTACGTGAACTCGCTTGACCTTTACTTCCGGGTCTACCGGAAGGTCAAAGTTAGGTGAATTCAAAATGAAGACGTTAGCCTGAAATCAAAACAAGGCAACATTTCTTCCAAACGGTTCACGGTATGATCACAAAACCTTGTGTGAACCTGTACCGTGTTACGAAGATGTTATAAATTTTGTTACGTCATCATGACGTCATCAGGTATCAAATTACAAGCAATTTAAGGGCAAATTTTGACAAAATAGGTTGCTTTATATCTTGTGAACTAAATAGAGTATTGTGTTCGTTTTTTCGTGAGGTTGTAGACTATACCGTGAGAAACATTTCGTGTTCCCGGACGCAAAACTGCTTGACCTTTACTTCCGGTGTTACCGGAAGTGCAATAAAAACTGAATATAACTCAAAAGCGGAAGCATTTTACTACAGACATATATATTATGAAAGTGTTTAGTGAGGAATGCAAGATGCAAAAAGCAGTGTGATGACGTCATCATCCGAAAGGGCGCCCCCTATCGGCACATAAAATAGAGTTTCCCTTCTTTAATTGTAAAACCATCCGTCCAAATTTTACCAAATCGCACCTTGACATTCTCTGATTAACCACAGATAACTTGGCAAGGTTTCAAATTCATGACGTCATCAGACCGGAAGTTGCCTTAAGGAGAATTTGAAAAAGATCATAGTTTTAATTTAATTTTATCATTTGATCCCTGTCATATTTCCGAAGTCCACATAATGATATCCATTACAATGTTCACCTTTGGATCTCTAATGCTGTGATGTCATCAAACCGGAAGTTAGGTGTTATAAATACGTCATCAAACCGGAAGTTAGGTGTTATTAATACAAACAATTATATTTCCTATATTTTCATACGTTATTTTAACTTTACAATGAGAAATTATCCTCTCCGAACTTTATCAGTATTCATTCACCATTTTTGACTGATGACGTCATTAAACCAGAAATAACTTTTTGTGCACATAGAATGTTTACTGAAATTTATTACACCGTTAAAGATACCTTTTTGAAACATTGATTGTACTTGAAGGGTTTTAATGTCCTGATCCTTTTTTCTACATAAACATATATTCTTAACTTAACTGGGCAGTGTATAATGAAAAGGCTGTCCGCCCGACCACTCTGCGTTTGTAACTAAACAAACGCGAAACTCTAGTTTCAATTACGTTACCACTACAGCTTTTTCTACGAATATTTTTAGCAATTCAGGATCAATTGAATAGAATTCTGTACACACTAAAACCAACACTACTAGGCTTGCTTCGTCTTGTTTCATTGCTCAAGGAAAAAAACAGCCTTTCCAATAAACAAAATAAATAACAAAATTTAAATGAATTACCAGAAAACTTCAGGGCCACGTTTTCGTATATTTGTTTTCCGTTGTAGTCCCCTGCCCTGAAATAATTTAAGTTTAGTAGCGATTATCTAATCATACTCACATATTCCCAGAATGAAGGCCATCGCAGCTATCAAGGCACCAACAATTCCAACGCCAATTCCTGCCCATTCTCCAGCTGTCAATCCATCAGACCCTGCAGGTGTAGGTTTGGCTACGGTGGGCGAAACTGAAACCGTTGTCGTGTTGGATGATGTTGCCATTGCTGTTTATTGAGTGGCTCGCCGAACTACCGAAAAAGTTGACAAAATTTAACTGAAAAACAATTAGAATAGAAAAGACGGAGACACTATGGACAATTCCTCAGAAAAAAAACCGAACACTAAGTCACACCAGGACGGAACCGGCCAATTTAAGATTACTGTAATGTTTAAAGGTACAAATAGGATCATTTGCTCGTCATGCATATTTGTTTCATTCGAAGACTCGAAGCAACAAAATTGCTCACAATCTTAAGCAGGGAGCAAAACAACTAATCTGTTGAAGTTGTAACTCAGTGGCTTCTCTACATTTTAAGAAGATGGAGAAAAATTTGTGCCCATTTGGGGTGCAGGGAGCATATTCCGTTGCTAATGTACCGTAGGTAAAAGAAAAGTATGCCAAAACTATAGGTTTTTTTTAAGGCAGTGGATATTTTGCCGGAGACGGCAAACCTTTAGTAAACGTTAGCTTGCCGGATATGCACTGAACATGCGCAGTTAATATTTTTTGGGTACTTGAGGCAATTTCCGGTGACAAATTTTAGTCTGGCTCCATGCCAACATTATCGCTGTAACTTCGTATTGACAAGATGGGAATCATTTTACAATTTCAGACTTTATTTCTCTTTAAAAAAAAAATCCTCCACTAGCCACAAATCTGAAAAAGAAAATGTATAATACACTGCAATAAACTGTTTGAGACAAGTTAAAATAATAAAAGAAGAATATTCTTATTTTTGGGGCATGGGGGGGGGGGGGGAAACCTAAGTAATGTCGCCAGCGGGGATCGGGATCGAACCCGGGTCTTCCCGAGAGATCCGTTGCATATTCACTGGGCCAAGTGTGCTACATAACCATTGGTGGTAATTTAATATATCTTATAATTCAGCCCTATCTTAGAGAGTACAGCGCCCTCTGTTGATATGGATTGCCGCCGGCAAACCTTTAGTAAAAGTTAGCTTGCCGGTGTGACAGGTAATTCTGTCCCCCCGGTAAATGTGTCCCCCCGGACACATTTACCGGCTCGTGACCCAGTAAATGTGTCCGGGGGGACACTTTTACCTAGGTAGATTTGTCCCTCTCCAGGTAAAAATGCCCCCCTGCCCAACGGTGAAAGTGTCCCCCTGGTAAATGTGTCCCAATGCAGTATAGTATGTACTGAGAGCAGATGTGTGGCAGTGATTATCACATGTGTACATATGCGTCTCCCTCTACAATGGAAATTCATCCAATAGGAAATTTCGTTTGGCGCTATGATGGGAACACGCAGACCAATCCAAGTAGGCGATGTATCAATGAGACGAGGGCCATCGCCATGCATCGCCGCTGTATTGACCTATCGCGGTAGAATCGCGATAGATTTCACCGTACTCCAAATCGAAACATTGTGTTCACACAT